AGCGAGTGCATCATGTAGCCACCAGGATGATTCCCAACTTACGAGGTGTGCTGTACGAAGACAGGAGTAAGAAACTAGGGCTGTACACCCTTGCTTATCGTCGAATGAGGGTTGACCTAATCATAGCGCACCGGATATTACATCCGGGTGATTACTCTATATTGAGACCGCTGCTCCATCTGCGCATACCGAGCAGCACACGAGGACACCGGTACAAGGTTGTCGTACCGGATTTAAATCGGGTCGCTTACCAACTCTGCTTGGAAAGCAGAGTGGTGAATGTATGGAACGGCCTGCCGCAGCACGTAGTTGAGGCAAAGTCAGTGGCGGAATTTTAGGAGATCCTTGATAAAAACTTTGCGGACGCAAAATATATTGAGCGGAGCACAACATAACGGGTATTTGTCCATGAGTGACAATTCATGCAGCTACACAGAGCAAACGTTACTCGCTGCATCTAACCAGTAATCAGGAATCATGAATCAGTAATCAGTAATCAAGCATCACCATTAAGATGGTTTCTTTTATTTGAACCAAATGCATTTGCGCGCCATAACATTTTCGAATAGTGGCAACGGTCCGCTCTTTGACTTGTGGAGTTAGTGCGGAATCCAGTAGGTGCTGTCTCATTCCGTTTATCTAGTGGTCATAAGGAAATGGGAGACCGACTGCATGCGTTTATTCAACATGCAGTGTTTAGTGGTTTCGAGCTCAAGCCGTTTCACTGCTTGTAGGATTAGCTTTGTTGTATTAACCGGACGCATTATGCTGCAAGGTTAGAAGAGGACAATCATTAACATGACCCTGGCAAATAAACTTGAAGCCCGAACTGGATGAACTTGGCGTCTCCCACCTGTGATTCGGTGGAAAAATTATCAGAGAAGGCTTCCAACCGGGACCAGTGGTGCGCTTGATATCACCTAACCTAATCCGTGTGCTTGTTACAGTAATATCTGCATTGCAGGGTTTATTTAAGTGATGGCAATTGGAGTTCTCTGGCTGCTCTCTAGTCGATGACACTTTCACGTGATGGACAGTTGTTTATTGTCTTGTAGTGCTGGTATGGTATGTGCGCTCTGATGCTGATTGTTGGTCCAGGGTAGTAATGTTTACGCCATATCCTCTTCATCATTTACCAGAGTTTCTCACTGGCAGGATAGTTAATTTGCTTGGCAGTATATTGTCAGTGCAAACTTACTTTTCACTGGTGTTGCTGATAAGCAGGAAGTTCGCGGTATCTAAAGAAAAACCAGCTTTGCTGTTCACTCCGGGAATCCCTAATAGTTCGGCGCTTACATAAACACAATACCATAGTCGAATTTCACGACACTGTGCTTGAACATTCTTCCGTAGTCATTGTGATCAAATTTCCGTCTAGTAATTCCAGTGACGAACACCAACAGTGTAGTGGCGTATGGTAAAAGTGACAATTTAGCGAGTGTTATATAGCTATCCAGAGGCGATTGTTGGGGTAGCTGATAACTTAACACCGGTCTGCCCTTCGTGCAGTAAAATCCGGCGAAGCCCGATCACAAACTCCATCCGTTTTAGCCGAGAATTTGTAGAAGTTAAGGAAAAATGAAGCAGGTGGCTTGTACAGCGCATTGCTTGTAATTCCAAAGACTGCAGTAGATTTTGACCTGCGCAACGCATGAAATCATGTGTCGCATCATCGAACTCATATTGCATGAAAAGTATGCGCAAGAAACCTGGCTATATGATGAGTAAATTGCTACGATAATAAAATGGTTACCGTAAGAAAATAAATTAGGGAAACGGCCAATAACACAACAACCTTCAATTAGTAAATAACAGAAAATTTCCACTGAGAAAATACATTGTTGACGTACACAAGTCGTTACAGAGGAGCCACAAACTTATCATTTGCACTAAGCCTTGCCGAAGCTGTTGTAGCATCTGGAAACTGCATGAGAACAGTTGGAGTTTCCGGAGGTGGGACAGTCTGTATTGTATCGCACAGGTGAGTCGTCACACAAATTTACACTCCTATCTGGTTCTGCTCGTAACAGTTATTCTATAAGTTCGGCAATGGAACATTTATCCAAACGATTCAACCAGAATCACCTTAAAGAGAAGAATCCTTGCATTTATGGTGCTTTAGATCAGACGAATTCCTCCCGGGTGAGTACTTGGTGTTCGCTCCGGGGACGCAGGAAACAGACCCGAAAACCCGTGATAAAAAGATACTGTAAAACATATATAAGTGGCGTCTTTCTGTAAGGTGACGTTAAGTTGAGGACATCAGTTATTGGAATCTTCATCTGTTGTGGTGAAGCCACAGCATCTTGCGGTGTTCATCTAATTCCAGCGGATGGTTTTTACTATAGCCAAAATATGTTTATATTGCTTGCATCGTTTGCGACGGATGTGATCAATAAGTTTCTTTTCCTGTTAGCTGACCTCAGTATCGTTCGGGCCAGACATGCTTGTCATCCGATCTGCATAAAAGTTCAAACATTAAACGCTGTGAGGATGAATGAAGAACAAGGTCGAAGAAGAGCTGGAGCTTCGGTGGGCTAAGAGGCAGTTACGATCGCAGGATATTGAAAACCAGGCTTTTGGCTGTTATTTCCAACAGTTGCGAGAAGTGGGTCATTTGTGACGGTGACTGAAGAAGACATAAGAGTACATATAGGTGAAGGACGGGAGGTGGGGTTATCTGTGAGTGGAGGTTGAGCAGTTGAGTTAGCATAGAAGGTAGGCATAGCGAGAGCAGTAGTAATCAGTGTGGTCAATGATTGGTCAGTGGGCGTGATACTACCCGGTTGCCCAGGCGGAAGTAGAGGGTTGTTGTAGAAGGCCATACCCCGAGCCTTTGATCAAAGATCTAACCTACAAGGCAGCAGGGCGATGTGAGTGGGTCGCAACCCGTTGGGAGCCGGTGACCAACTAGATGGTTCGTACGTTTTTTGGTCCGTGAAGGACAAGGGGCACAACGCACCCTTGAAGTACAATGCCTGTCAGGGAGAGGCAAAGGGCAGTGCTTTTATTTAGGGGCAAATCACATCCGCCACATCGCAGTGTTGTTAAACAGACGTTTGTGGGTTATTATGGGGAGAACACTTGCAAGGCGAAAACCCACCACGTCCTGGAACACTGCCGCCAAACCATTTGCTGGAACGGAAAAACCTGAACCACCCAGCTGGCACCACGAGGATGTTTTTCGGCAAGCCAGCCGTCTGGACGATGAACTAGTGTTAATTACAGTAACACTAATGGCGAACGGCTACCCTCGACGATTTATCGAGAAACTCTGGCAACCGCGAGGGACAAAGGACTTGGTGCACACGGCAGCCAAGAAGAAAGTGTATATCGAGTTACTTTTCCAAGGTGATTAAGGCACGCTGAAGACAACTAAGCATCTAATTGCGGCTACACAAGGAAGTTACCATGCTGCCCAAGTTGTCCTCATCAATCGAACCCGAAATTTGCCCATACCTCCAACGAAGGATGCTCAGCCTATTGGGGCCAACTCACACTGTATATACCAATTGGTATGTGACTGCGGAAACAATTATATAGGCGGAACTAATAGAACGCTGACTTCCAGAATAAAAGAGCATGTATCAAAATGGGTTCAGTGTGAAGTTGCTCAGGTTGTCTACCCTCGCCAGATTCCGTGTTCGCGCAGATCGACGGCTTCCTCGATAGGCAAACACCTATTAGACTCGGGTTACCGGATAGAGAAGGGCTCAGCGTTTAAAGTGGTGTTATATCACACTTATTCCCGTTTCCTTCGGTTAGCTGAGGATGTCCCTATAAGCCGGATGAAGCCAACCTTGTGTGTTCAAAACAATTATTTGTCATTCTATATCTGCCTTGGATGTCGGTGTGAACTTCCGTCATTCATTCTGCACCTCAAGCTTGCCTGGTTGCATTCACTGTTAGCTTTATCTATGCATATAGGTTATTGTTAATGGTACTGAGGAGACAATACGAAATGCACGCATCTACCAGCCTTCGTCTTCTTCCCATGCTTTTCAAACTTATGTTGGTGTTTGCTCTGACTGAACTACGATTTCTAGTATTCGTTGGCAGCATCCTCTATATTCTAGAGTCGTCGATTTGATGAGAGGTCGCCTTTGACCGATCGAGCGATGAGATTATCCAAGAAAAGTTTTTGAAGAATGAACCGCCACTCTTCCAACTCGTGATTTTCGATCTCTTGACTATCAATTAGAGGAAGTTCTATCACATCATAGATGCAGATTGCGCCTATGTGGTCCTGCTTGCTATGTCCTTACGAGATTTTTTATCGATTATCCAGTTCTCTACGGGACGTCAAGATAGATGCATATCTTGTAAGATCCGTGTTGTAGCGCACTTGAAGAGGAAATCGTTTTCTGCATCAATGAATTTACGCATCCCTAGAACACTACAAGGTGGGCGGCCGCCTACAGGTAAAGATAAGCGAAGCTAGGATGCAAACTCCGAAATTTATCACCACAGGTGGACACCACTACCAGTAGAATTCCGGGATATTCGAGCTATTTGCCCAACTGTCATAGCATCAGAAGGTTACGCTGGAACTTGAAATATCAAGCGGTTTGTCTCTCAACCCCAGTTAAATTTATCTAGTCAGTATGATCGAGGATGATCCAAAAAGCGAGTGGGAAGTTAATGGCAGGATAGGAAAATAGAGGTTACGGTATCTTGCACGTGCATAGCTTTTTCACCTCTGTTGCTATGGGAACTTGGCTGCTAGTTGATGCAGTTGCCATTTACATTTTAAACGCGATTCCGAGGATCTGTAGGAAACTCTAAGCAAGCTGACGCTTCCTGGCTATTCTGCATAAGACCACGAAAACACAGGAAGCTAACTGGAGACCATAGATTCACACGGAAAATCAGATGTCTCACACTTTCATCATATTCCTTACGCCAGCCCTTTTTCTCTATGGTAAACTCAATGATCTATTATAGCAATTCCTTTCTCTTGCAGTCCACCACATACGAACAGCCAGTAATGTTTTCTTTCAGATCCTGTCCTCGTTTTCAGTGTGTACCCTGAGGCGTTATCGACTCTCCCCTGGTCAGTGTTTTGGTCTATTCTCTTCTTCCTCATGCTGTTGACCTTGGGCCTCGACAGTTCGGTGAGTTTAGCACGGGTAGAACATTCTGTCATTTATCAACTGATCAGTGCGATGCATCGACGCAATTTCTAATCGTGGCAACAATATTCGAACTGATACGGTAGCCTGGATTATAGAGGGTCTGTAAACAACCGGATAAGTGTGTCTGAATTTGTAGGTTTACCCAGTACGCCAGCATGTATTTTCATTGCAGCGCTGACTATTAAGGCTCTATCCAAGTAGAGTAGGAACTTTGATTATGCCTTTGACTAAACCGAGATAAATGTACCACCTTGTTGATTGCGTTTTGGACTGTGCTTAGCTTTAAATCAATAAATTGATCAGTTGTATATCAGTGGTCCTGAACACTTAGTGCCTTATAGCTAATTGCACGTCAATACGGAAGAAACATGAGAAACTTCCAGTTGCACGCCAAGTTACACAGTGGACGATTTGATACAAGGGACACGTGTTAAGTTTACTAAATTTGATGCCTTTGCCAGTAGTTGAATCAGATACACATGGATGATGGAACAACAGTTTCCACTAGATAATCTTTTATCACCTAGCAAATCTCAGGGCGTTGTCATGGAGAGCGTTACAATATCAGACCTATTCCCTAAATGGAACGCGTAACTATCATAATGGTAACCGTGGAAAAGTAAGATGACCATTTATTATGGGATTTGTGGCGCAATAAAAATGTTGCTTTAACTTTGGTGGAAACATTCCTTGGATCTCATTTATCCATAATTTCAACTGGATACGTTGCAAATATGAGACCAAGTCCCGAGAACTACTTGCGTGAGACCAATGTTTATTAAACGATAATCGAAGTGGAAGCAGTGTCAAAAGAGTTTGTTCAGCACTCCAGGGTTTGTAATTAAGAAGCGTAAAGTTATTCTGGCACCACTTTAGGGTGCCAATGTGGTTGATGTTTTGTCTCGAGCTCACCAGGTAAACCATACATAAACCGAGTAACTCAATATCACATGCCGAGGTTAGGTTAACAATCATGTGTGCATCACAGTGATTGTAGCAATTTCTCTGTGCATGTATACACAGCTCAAGCTTTCCTATCGTCTTGATGAGTAGATCAGTTCACGCCCATACCTTCCGGTTTATGAGTAACCAAGACGGACGAGTTGCTGGAGCTAAGAAAATGGTTCCTGCACCAAATGATTCGCATTGAGGAAAAGCTTCTAGATAGAAGGACCAGATGCCATAACAGTTTGTTGCCATAGAGTAATAAGGTTTGAATTATGGAAACTTTCATTATCGTTGGCTCTTGGCATTGCTCAGGAATTCTGCTAATGTTCCTGTTTGGCGCCATGGGATTAAAGCCGGCATTATCCGTGTTAGATTCAATCACTGGATAGGCGCCACACAGACACACTCTCCTCCCCGAACCGCTCGACGGTGTGGTTTTTCGCTAGAACCAGGGCGGTTACCGACCTCGAAATGAAGAACCAATAGATGCCACTCAACACAAGTGTGGCATACTGCTAGTCCCTCGGGTTACCAACTACTTTGATATGGTAAGTAGTAAAATGACTGCTGTTTTATCGTGACCAGAATTTCAAAGTGATTATTCACGCACCAGGACAGGGGCTTGTTCAGCATGTATCCTTGCGAAATGAAATACGTGAAATTACGGTTAAAGAAAATAATAAAACGTCTAAACTGTCTACACATATCACTCGAGCAATTAATTTCGCATGATAGTGATAGTTTTGTTTGGGTCAACAAGTAAACAGAACAGAATTGCGGTAAGATGGAGTACGAGAAAACAGAATCTTAGGTTTGGAAAGAACAGAAGAAATCATTAGTGTTTTGGACAGGTGACAGTGTGGTGAATGAAGTGGGCCGTTTAGAATTTAGAATGCGAAGCTAGTACAAGCGTCTAGGTACTTGTTAACAATAAAATCCACAAGGGATTCTATAGACTATCCACTGCATTTGAAAATAGGCTTTGTTGACTGTAAAATCATTGTGCCGTCTCTGTTGGGGAACATAAGAAACATTACAGGTGAACAGTAGATTCAATTTGGCAAAATGCATGCAGTCACAAACCTAAGAATCCAATCACGAGGTACTGAAAGTATTTCAAGTGGAAGAGCGTAAAGGACAACCCACTGACCTTACAAACGTTTCGCCTAAGTGAATATAGCAAGCTAGGTTTCGGGTTAAAAGGGCCCCAATATATATTTGATAACCGGTGATCTGGATATCACCTGGTCACTCATTAATGGAGAAGTGACGTTTGAAACAACTCGTAATTTTTCAGCTAGAAGGAACCGTAATGTTATGTCACGACATTTAGAAATGATCAAAATCAGAGCTCGGGACGATGACCAAAGTACAAACCTATTTGGAAAGATGAAGATATCCCAGCGTTTGGATTAATGCATCCAAAAACAGCATCGTGAGCATATCGGCATCTAATAAATATAGTTGTTATGGGGAGCTTTTCAATTTATAAAGAAAATAGAGCAGGTGAGTGGATGACTTTCCGTAAAACACCTCGAATTGAGAGCAACGCAAAAGACTTCATTTCATTAATCCTGGTGAATTGAGTGAGCATTGGAAGTAGTCTTTACTCACTCTGTAAACACTTGTTGAAAAGCCATTTGTAACTATCTGGTTGATTAGAATAAATCCGTAAACGCTCCCGAAATGTTACTTATAGTCGAGAAACAGAAAGCTTACGGCATCGCATTTTTAACCAGCACTGACGCTACCGGATACACAATATATGCTACAGTATCCAGTGTAAAGCGGCCAAGGTTGTAAGCGAACCGGTAATTATCGCCTGTATTGGTGCACATGAAAATCTGAGTGGCAAGTAGTTTCTCGAAGACCTACAACATTATCGATGTGAATGCGGTTGGAGGATACTTCTTCAACACCGGCGTTATCCTTACACATCTCCAAATGTTAGCGCTGGCACTATGCATCAGACATCGGTGGAAAATGGCAATTAGAAGTTTCGCAGGGTAATTTGCACAGTGGTTTAGGACCTGTGGTGAAATGTATCTGAGCCAGCAGCTCCATTTACCGTCAATTTTCTGAGTTCTCGACAAGAATTAAACCTGTCAAAGCAGGCTACTGGACCTGTTTTGGTGAAGTTTGGAAGGAAAACATTCCCGCTTTGAGTTCGTTCCCATTTACCTTATCAATGTGTTTATGGAAACTTTGGCCATATAGGTGCTTCAAATCACTCCAAAGGATGCGGCAATCGTGATTGCTAAGCACATCCTGGATGTGTAAGCGGTTCAAAAATTTTGTCACAAACTTATTTGAGGTTCTTCGCAATCATTTTTCAAATCACATAGTCGTCCACATGCCCGGTAAAGCACTAGACTGCAGTTTCAGCCTGTTGGGCATCATCAGTAGTGCGCATCCATCGGATCCATCAGTATTCGAACCCATGACCACCAGCGGATTGAACCGCCAGTCAGCAGCTTATGCCACTGGGCCACGGGGGACAGCTTCGGACGGTCGTGATTTACAAGCTAACTGCGATATAGCGCGTCTTATCCTCCACTGCCATGCAAGTTACGAACGTTGCAGAGGACAGGGTTGGCCCCGAAAGACACGGCGTCCACTAACAGTAGCTATGTACGACATAGCATTTAGAAACTGTCAGGGCAGGTATATTTCGATGTACTCATGAGTAGGGGATTTTTGATGTAATTAAGTGAGGTTCTTCGCAGTCAGTTTCCAAATCACATAGTCGTCCACATGCCCGGTAAAGCACTAGACTGCAGTTTCAGCCTGTTGGGCATCATCAGTAGTGCGCATCCATCGGACCCATCAGGATTCGAACCCATGACCACCAGCGGATTGAACCGCCAGTCAGCAGCTTATGCCACTGGGCCACGGGGGACAGCTTCGGACCGTCGTGATTTACAAGTTCGAATCCTGATGGATCCGATGGATGCGCACTACTGATGATGCCCAACAGGCTGAAACTGCAGTCTAGTGCTTTACCGGGCATGAGGACGACTATGTGATTTGGAAACTGACTGCGAAGAACCTCACATAATTACATCAAAAATCCCCTACTCATGAGTACAAACTTATTTGTCGAACAGTCTTTGAAATTGCTCAGTCAATGCATCTTTATGGGCTTGTTCATTCTTTCTTTCAAGTTGCTTCAGTAGCAGTGAAGGAAATTTATCCACTTGTAGGGTAGTGGTCTCAAAAGGGAAACACAAAGCAAAGTGGAAGCTAATATACTCCATTAAATGGTGGAACGCTAGATACATATTTAATCTTGAGTGCTGAAAATTCAGTTGAAACCAATGTCGCTTGGAGTTTCGCAATGTTTTCTGCTGAGACGCCCGACGGTTTTGAATTGTTGTTTTTTCAAAGTGACAAACTTGGTTTTTTTGTAAGAAGACCGGGTACACCTTCAGAATGTAGTGATCTGAGGTTCCGAGAGGAGTCCACTTTAATGTAGAAAACAACTGTGCTAATGAATGCCGATTCACTCAGTTTTAGACAAAAAAGCTGGAGAAATATAATCCGGAAATTTCTTCAAATCTGACGATGGTGTGTCACGAGCTTTATATATCTTTCCAACGACTACCGAAAGGAATGCATTCAAAACTTTGGCATACATTCAAATATATGACAGATAACATTCTACGTAGATTATGTAAACAACAAGGGTAGCGATTTACACCGGAATTAGTTGATGTATGTGATGATGCCTGCTCCACTATAATGCGGTTTTCCAGCTCCACCTATCTTTAGGAAACGATAGTCACTGTATTGGATGAGCTCATCCTCAAGGTCAGAATGGAGCCAACTTTCTGAAAGCATCACGACACCTGTGTTTTCAAACATTTTACGCATCATAGGAGTAGTAAACTTAGCGATTTTACCTAGGAGAGAGCACACCTTGCTGGAGAGAATCAGTGTGATTTGTTCTCTGTCTACAGGACAGTGTCTGAGGCCAAATTGCCAACCAGTGGGATGTTTTCGCATTTTACCAAAGTGTTTCTCGAAAATTAGTTAGATGGTGTTGACCGCATTCGGCATAAGATATGCTTCGTGCGGCGCTTCGGAACGATTTCATAAATTCGGTAGAGTAGGATATCATTAATGACCTTAGAATGATTTAGATAAACAAAATTCCGAGAACCGCAATAAAATGGATATATCCGCAGTAGATAGCGCGGCACAAATAATACTCCAATGAGAAAACACCAACAGCAAATTTCAAGGCCTCGCCCTACAGCATGACCAGGACATAAGTCAAAAACACACAGGTCTGAAAGTAACGGTTTGACGCTTGTAGACCGGGTAAACGAAGTGTTAATATCATTCGTTGGGCGGAGAACATGTCCGAAGCGACATCAGGAGGAAACTCATTTACAACATCGCATACGCGCTTGGGGTGAATCACACCCCACCGGCAGCTTTGCCATAATTTATCCCTAAGAAAGAAAGAGTACCTTAGTCTCCAACCAGAAATATCAGTTGGAAATGACTTTGATGCAAATGTCTTCTCTAAGTTAACATATGCGAATTGGCCGCTTGGACAAATGCCTCTGCTTGTTACTTGCCGAGTATTTTAAAGTTGAACTTGGAGAATCCGCTGTGTGCTGGGGTTGCTACAAGCAAGCTCGATTGAGACCACGGTTCACTTAAAGTGGACCTCAGTATTCCGATCATAAGGGCCGTATGTGAAATGGAATATTTGCGTGTTACTCATCCCAATACTGGAATCCCATGACTGCTGTTTCGTCTTGCTGTGGACTCATCAGATGGAGATAGCCTGAGCTGGGGTGGAAATCAGAGCCTAGTAGTTCACGGCTGACTCCATAAACACTAGGCCACTGAGATCCGCCAGTAACGCTTTGCACACCAAAATATTTCCTTTCCACCTACGGTGCTTGTGATCGGAATGACCGAAGTCCACCTCAAATGAACCGAGGTCTCAACAGAGAAGTTGTTTGTAGTAATCCAACCACACAGCAGAATCTGCAAGTCCAATTTTGAATTCGTTTCCGCTGTACCAAGCAATGCTGGCGGATCTCAGTCGGATAGTGCTTATGGCATCAGCCGTGAACCCTTAGGAGCTGATTCCACTCCAGCTCAGGCTATCTCGAGCTAAAGCGTCCAAACCAGGACGAAACGGCGGTCGAGGGGATGCCAGTGTTGGGATGAGCAACACCAAAATATTTCTATGGAACTGCGCTTGCTCATATATGCAACTTCTTAAAAATAGGATAGCCTTTTCTTTTAACACTAGTTAGACACTGGCTGATGGTGCGACCTTCGTTCCAGCTCGTGTGCTTTTCACGATTCGTGCTGACTAAAACACTGAAAGTCCCAGAGCAGCAAGTAAAGTTTTGAGTATGAGCAGGATATATACCCTGGGAAGCTCTCCAATCCATTGGTTAGTGACATCCGGTTCCGGATATTCCTGTCACTGCGGCCTGCATAGGACAGCCATAGGAGGCCTGCGCCTACAGAGGGACCATGGGTGGCTTGCGCTGCACCACCCATATCTGCACCCACACCCCCCATATCTAGTGAAAACTGGAAGGAATAAGACAGGGAGGCGTGTGGATGGGAGTCATGTTTCATCAATGGAGCCGGCCCACTCTCCTTCACAGGCAAACACAAGTAGGCTGTATTTGCGAATCAAACGCACACAATGCGACGGCTGGACCATAGTTCGCTCCACACACACAAACCCTGCGCATGGAACCTCTGTTCGAGCCTAGCACGGTCACAAGGACCGTGCACGCCGTTCCCTCCAGCAACTGTTTTCTGGAGCCAGTTTAGACGAGGTAGCGGGTAATAAACAGGTAGACACCTTGTCAAGATGCACATCAAGAGCAGCCACCCTGGGGATGTCGAACACCAGCCAATCACTTGAAATGATAATAACAAATAATATATATCGAATAAAGCATACGGAAATGCTGACACAAATCTACGTTTAATGAGTATATGTAATAAATTGGTCACCAGTGAACCTGCAATAAACGCAAGATGTCAGAAACTATATTTTAAAGAAGCCACAAAAGCGAAAATGTTAGTGAACTTAACCACACTTATCTTGAGCAAACTGTGCGAGTTCAGGCAAAAGGTAAGTGTAGCAAAAAGGATATGCATTGCGACTTTATATCAACCCCACATGAATTAACGCAAGTTAGCACGAAAGCACGCACACGAATGCAGCGTACCTACAAACGCTGCGCCTGTTCTGCTTACCTTCTCAGCAGGACCCGTCGTCGTTTCAATGCTTTGTCCAGAGTGGCCTCGCTCGTGGCTCACTGGGCCTGCTTGACTCAGGCACTCGCGACCGTAAATGCTAAAGCACCATGCGCTCGATGCCGATGGAGTACAACCAATCGGTGACTGTCGCTTCCGCACTTGCCGCTTCTTCTCTGCACACACGAAGGGTTCCGCTTGAACCTCGAAACGGCCTTCGAGATCAGATCGCGCCATGCTGGCGATCAACCGCCTTCCATTCCCAACAACTGGAATCAACATTAGAACGTGATAGACCCACTTTGACCATGTCCTGGTAACCAAGCTTCGATTTCTCCACCTGCCGCTTCCCAATAGTCAGCTGCCCGTTTAATAGTTGTTTCGGTATCGGCGTCGAATCCACACGCCACACATGACCGAGCCACCTAAACTGTCTCAGCAACAGTATGCACTCCACTGCATACATTCCACTTCGACGCAACACTTACGTGTCTGCAATTCTGTCGCACAAACTGATGCGCAGACCCCATCGCATACACTGCTGATGATACTGAAAGACATAAATGTGCGTTGAAACCACACTTATTTACCTGATCACAGATGAACGGTTTGTTTTCTCTCCTTAGAGGCGTTCATGGCGTTACACGACCGGCAGGATTTCCTTATTGTTCTCTCCAAGCTTAAAAGATAGTCTGAGCTGGAAAGGGAACTCGGTACATAGTGGTTGGCTGCTATCGTCATTATCACTAGGCCATCGAGCTTTGGGAGTAGCGCCTGGGACTTGTTAGAAGTTGATTATTTTGGTCTTTGAGCACGCGCATTGTGTCTTGGGTTACGATTCGCAGTCTCAGTTGTGGCCTCGGTTGACTTTGTCAGATTGTACTAATCCGATCACCGGGACCGTCGGCGAAATGGAGGTTTTCGGTGTTCTATCTCCAAGACACATGACTAGTGTACTAGTGTACCAAAGACCGATAGAGTTCTTCCATACCTCCGGATATCAACAATGGCTCCACTGGATATCAAACCTGGAAGTTGCAGTTCTTCTATAGACAATTACTGCAAAACCGACTATCTCTGCAAACGACAATTGCTAAACTTTGCAATGCCCTAGCATGCTTGGGTTTCAACATTTATTTGTGTATCGTGCCACTGGGTACTCTGAAGGAAATATAGCATCCAAATTAGCGACACCATTTTCACTTTCGACATATAGATAATGCTCGCGGTCACCCATTTAACTTTTAGTTCGGGGGGTCTGAGGATGTTATTACGGCGTTGAGCGATGAGTTCCCTATTTTGGCAAATCATCGCGAGTTGTTCGTGCTTGGTCTGTTCTCTTTCTATTGCATTATTAGAGCGTTGGAATCAACCCAGGTGAGTTCAAATCTGTTTAAAAACTGACAATCATATGCTGACTTGACTTATCGTTATACGTTGACGAACTGATGACGAGTGGTCACGACTCGGTTATGAAATCAACCTATTTAGAGTTCCGCCCGCTTCACCAGTTACTTATCATTTATGAACTGCTAGTCTAAGTGATCGGCTGTTTTACTTAGCTGGGTGGGCAGGGTGCCGAAGATAAGACTACCCAAACCGATAAGTTCGGTAGGTCTTCTCAAACTCCCAGTCGTTTGTGGAGACAACTGCACATTCGGTCATTGACCAAGAGCTTAGTGTACAGAGTTGTCCCTCACTGATCATATTTCTGAAATATAGGAATAGTTTTTGCAAGTTGACAACTTTGGCGACCAAAAGTGCTTTAATACCTACGTCGATTCCCATCATTATGCATTTTATACTCCCGCCATTTAATACCTGGAATAACCACTGTCAGCTACATTACCCGGGTTGACCTAATAAAACTCTTAGCGTGTCTGCGGATCACGAGCTCCTAAACGAGGCTTAGCACACTGTTTCTCTGCGGATAAAGTCTCAGGATGGCCAGCTGATACCATGGTAAAATTACACAAAACAAAAGATCAACAAGCCGATTCCGGCTAGTGATTACCAGATCATTTAGACTAAAATACAAATACGCAAGGCCTCTTGGTATCTGGTATTATGACCTTTCCAATTCCTAGGTAACTACCATCATCCACTGCATTTTGAGTATCAGATTCGCTTGAACTTATATTCTTCCTTTCTGTAAGATGTTTTCAACGTGTTTGTACGGTGGCGCTGATCATGACAGGTGAATTTATCGTAAATCCTACTGATCGGGGAAAAGTATGTCATAATGTCTCAACTTATCCAAGCAGCCTCTGCAAAAATTTCATTTTATGACGAAATGTCAAAACTAACTCATTAAAACGATCGGATGATTAAGGAAGCAGACAGAGATGAATTCAGAATGGTAAGCCAGGCAAATGAGTGCGAAAATTCCTACTTATTTCGCTTCCGAACTCCAACTAACGATTCTGCCGTAGCAATGGTACCGAGGTTCTCTGAACCTTAACACATATCGGCATGCATGGTCATCCTTATACTGTTGTGTACGTCTACCGATGCCAGGGTAGTTCTCCTGACCTCCGGTTGCCTTGGTGCATGCGTTGTTACTAGTGACATTTGCAGACGCTTTCAAACATTTGCTTAAATTCATAGAACTTTGAGAATCCGCGGGCTTTTCATCTGCAAAGTTACGGTCATACCGTCAAATGTGACCCCAGACGAACAGTTTCCATTAAAATGTGTGCAACCAGTGCGATTTGACAAAAATATCTGTAAAATACCTGAGAGCTAAGCAATCGCTGAAGGCAGCATGATGAGGGCTTTACTTCAACGTCTAAGCTGGTCGCTTGAAACCAGGAAGGTTACAAGTCGGTTGGAAATGCTTTCGTCAGATTGCATAGTAAATGCTATCCAATTGCCAGGGTTTTCACCAAACATTTAAGGTTTAACATTTTGATGGATACTACAACAACTTGAACACTTTGGTACTTTATCAAAGTGGACGGCCACTCGGCTGATGAGCCTGGGTGAATACGCCGGATCATGTTGGTTAATAGTATAGTATAGTATAGCATAGTTTTTAAGTATTTTCAATCACTGCTAACCAGAGGGTCAGTTAGTAAGCCAATCTCATGCGCCGTATATAAGTAAATTGCTGTTATCATTACTACTCGTGGTTGGAAGACCTCAGGAGGCCATTCTTCGGTTAGCTTAGGTATCCGCAGTCATTTTTTGAGCCCACACAGTAAGGGAAGATTGCTTGTCCCACTTGACTTTCTGTGGAGCTAGTGTGTTGTTCAGTAAAGGGATTTTTGAATTACTAGGGTAATATTAGTTTAAGTCGGCTTTTGCACGCGCTAAAATTATAGTAATTCTTTGGCTTTCTGTTTCGTTTTTTCCTATCACCTTAGTTGTTGCAATGAACACGGCTGAGCACGTATAACTCCCAGGAGTTGTTTTCCCGGAACAGAATTTATCGGATTTTAAAAGATTACGTGGTTTCTTCTATAATAAGTTATAGGAGACGTCATAAAAAATTGAGGATTATCGCCCATCAGCGTTCACCAATTAGCACCAAGACATGGTTAACTGACTCCTGTCGTGTTCATCAGCATTGACGGCCTCCACTTAGCCGTAGAGCTCTGGTGTACCAAATATGACAGGCAAATTAATCGTTTAGTTTCCCTCAATAGCAAAATTTGCGATGTCACGGCAATGCAGAAATCACTTGCAAACACAGCAAAGGCTGAATCTAATAAGCGTACAACAAGAAAAGTCATAAATCACTGTCTAGAGTAGCACCAGTTAGGCGGTTCAGTACTGGTTCGTCGTAATCATTGCGAAGTTCGTATTACATTGTTACATTGCAAACTCAGAAAGCCTGAAAAAAACAAACATGGAAAGTGTGGACAGCTTTTGCTGCACAACTCCGTCAGTAGAACAAATTTCAAACACTACGGTTGTCCACTTACCCCTATACTCAGGCACTATAATCGAAAATCAGTGACTGCAATCTGATCGGTTCAAACAAATAAGCAACCAATCAGAATCTAGTATCGTCAATCTTGTGTTAGTGGCGTGTAACTGTATAACAATTCGTAATTGGGAGCACCCGTGTTTTTCCTGTATGATTGCATCTATGCCCCGACCTATTTTAGGTGGCTGTGTTGTCAGTGGATGGTAGGACGGTCAACGCATACCCTCAAGAAGAAGGATACTGCGAACATACGACTGATCCAGTAGAAAGCACAATATAAATCTGCACCTGAGTGATCCCACATTGGTTCCGCAAGCGCATTAACGTGACTGGAGGTTGAAATGAGATTTGGAACAATAAAATCACATTTTATTACAGTGCACCCCGAAAGGTTAGCAAATCCAACAAAACAAAATATATATGCCTGCAAATGTGGGCTCAGAATTCAAGGAAAGTTGCATCGCCACTAATCACACGACCCTAATCTGGTCCGAAACATGGGATAAGTGCTACAGGATTGTTTACTGGGGCTAAATTCACATAGCCTGTTAAATCTGCCCTAGTTTGTTGATAATTGGCAGTTTCACTTACTGTTTCAAAATTTGGTACACAACTTTCCATTAATAAACAATAAATAAATGTAGGTATTTCCCAACGGGCTTGGTACGTTCAGTTTTGTGGAAAGACCGATTGCACAACGATTTTCTTCAATGTTTCATTTCCAAACTCGTATTTAATATGGAATAGTAAAGCAATGCTTTGTTAGCAACTTAATAAGTAACAATCTTGGTAAGTTAGCTTTGTCATTTTTTCGGCCGGATTCCATAAGTGCACAAGTAGATTGCTGAAATTCGAAAAGTTTGGCCATATTTGGCATGGAAAGCAAAAGTTTATATGAGATTTAAATATAGACAGGGTCTCGCTGGTCCCTAATTGCAACGCTAGTTTATTCTACAGATATTTAAGCGGATACTTTTGCCTGATCCTCCGCAAGAATGGCAGGCAATTCCTATTACCAGTGGGCTGGGTTACGCCATTTTGTAAAGCGAGCCGCTCTGGTTAAAATTTCTTGTGTCTACATTAGGCCTTAGGGAATAATGAGATTGCTTTTCAGTCGTCTAAGTCACAGTGGGTCCAGCTGGAGGTAAAAACATCCTTCTTATAGCTAAGCTTTGATGAGAGTCCCGTAAGCATTCTGATAAAGTAGTTCTGGACCTCTTCCAAAGTAGTTCTATCTGTCTTGCGTAGGTGACTCTGTAAATTGATGAAGTACCCTAAAATGGGTCTCCCTATAAGACTGAATGTTTCAAGTCGTGTGCAGTATAGTGAAAATGTATCATTAGTGGTACAGCTTGTTAGTTGATTCGCCTTCACTACTTGATGCAGGACGTGTTAGGAGAAGTGGAATCTGCTGGAGTACCGGTTTTCCAGGTCCTCGAGCGGAGTACGCAGTTGGGATGACGGTCTCAGTAAGAGTGATGGATCCTACTGGGTTTCTGTCTCTGTGGCATAGTATCAGATTTAGCTGCTGAGAATTTCTTGCGCATGCTTTCATTCCATTTGTTTAGGGATGACATCTCTTCGCGCATAATTCTTAGACATAGTTTCAGTTGATCAGGTAGAAATCAGTACCCTATAGTTTAATGTCGTCCGTAAATAATATCGGCACCCGTGTCTAAAGAAATCACAGATACCATTTATCTAGATGAAGAAAAGCAAGGGGCCCAATACACTGATCTGAAGAACACAACATGTAACATTTACGGAAGTAGAACAATGCTGACCAATTAGTACTCATTGTGTTCGGTCGTCAGGATGTAAGCCAGACCAGCTCAAAAGTGGATTACTTCTCCCATCGGCCGCAAGCAGGGCCAACAGTGGTTTGCGCGGTACACAGTTAAACAATTTTCGAATATTCAGAAAGGTTATGTTGATGATGGCCATGCTACCATCTAGGGTTGCTGCGACATGATCGGGGAATTGAAATTGGCACGTGACATAGGAAAGTTTGGTAGTGAATCCGTTTTTGGAACTGCTACCTAGGTTTTGTCTTTGCAGGAACTGAATTACCCGATCCCTGATGACTGCTTCTAAGGTCTTACCAGTGATGGTAGTATGGTTCATCGTCAGGTGGTTTGACACGTGGTCGTGTTTTGGGCAGAAATATTGAATGTTTCAAATGCTAAGGGAAGCAGCCTGTGCTTATTACTAATGTACAAATATTAAATATGAGAAGGGGTAGGTATTTTCCACTTAATCTTACGGCTAAAAAGGGAATACTACCAGTTTGATAGATGCAATAGTCATCAGTACACCCTTTAGACCCGGTGGGATGGTACAGATTACATCATCCGATTTTCTTGAACTGTGAGCAAAGAATACAATGCTGCAGTGAGAAACGGGGCAGCAAACTAGGAATTCGTTGAACAACATACTTGGACTGTAT